CCTGGGTTCCCCCCAGCTGGCTTTGATCTTCCTGCAGTTATCTTTCTCCTCCAGCTTTTCTGTTCTTTAATCCTTCCTCCCTTGTTGTTGCATTTTGATGGGATCAGGGGAAGGCTCCCTCCCCTCAGGGCACGGCGGCAACTTCTGCCTGGCATCCTAAAAATGCTATTGCCTAAAAATGCTATTTGCGACCCGGGGCTGCCCAGGGATTGTGGCTGAATTTAGGGGATCAGGAAAAATTAATTTTCAAAGATCCGTGGCTCCACTGAAGAGTTTCAGGAGAAAAAAAAGAGGGAAATGCAAAACAGGCAGAATATGGGAATAGCAAGAGTTTAGTGAAGGAATTAATTTTGCCGGATGGTGTCCAAGAGGTGTTTTCCTTGATGTTAACCCCATGAGGGGGCTGAACTGAACCCTGGTGGGATTCAAACGTGTGATATTTGCTTCTTCTCACTGGCTGAAGGAGCTGGTGGTGTAGGATTCAAGCCCAGGGTCTGCTCCGTGTCCTACACCACAGCCCGGTCCTTTCCCTGGCCCCAACTTTACCACTTTTTTGGAGGGAGATCTCGTGGTTTGAAGGCTGGGGAAGCATGAAGATCTTGCTGCCTGGTTCGCATCCCTGCTCCCGGGAGAGTTTCCATGTGTCCTCCCCAAGAACTGCTGGAAGATGGAGAGCTTCTGGATGCACGCTCGGTGCGATGGTCCTCAGGCTGGCACACAGGGAGTTGAGCTAAAATATTTTCTTTCTTCCTGCTTATTTTTTTTGGCCTCGTAAACCCTGTGTTTTGCTGGCCAGGGCCCTGTCTCGCCCGTTGCTCCATGGTTTTCTTGGAAGGTGGGAGGCTCAAAACTTCATCAGCAGCTGAGCCAACATCGTAACTCTTGGTGGTGGAGAGGAATTAATGAGCCAACATCATAACTCCTGTCCTGGTGGCAGAGAGGAAAGGGATGCTCCTGCCAGCCCCATGATCCTGCCTGTCCCTGGGACCCTTCAGGATCAATTCCTGCAGGTTCAGCTGCTTTGTGGAGAGGTCCAGCCTTCTGCACGTGGTGGCAAGGAGAAGGGAGACCTCCCCACCTTGGAAGGGGGAAGCCTCTCCCAGGACAGGGTTGGAGCTTGAGCCCCGAGATGAAACCAGGCTTAGAAGCATAGAATGGTTTGGGTTGGAAGGGACCTTAAAGATCCCTGGGCAGGGACACCTCCCAGTAGACCAGGTTGCTCAAAGCCCCGTCCAACCTGACCTTAAACACCTGCAGGGATGGGGGCTTGCTCTTTGGAAGTGGATGCTTCCAGTTGTGGGAAGGGGAGGTAATGCTGGAGTGTCCTCTTTCTGGCACTGTCACATGTGTTTGCTGGTGGAGACTGCGTGGCTTTGGTTGGCTACTGTCATCCCTGTGGATCTTGGGTTGGAGCCCAGCTGGGACCATGGTACCTGGGAACCCTGCAGAGAAACACGAAGCTGCAGGCAGACCACCCTCGCTGCTTAATTGTTTTTATGATCTTAGATTTCATAGAATCATGGAATAGTTTGGGTTGGAAGGGACCTTTAAAGGCCATCTCGTCCACCCCCCTGCCATGGGTAGGGACATCTTCAACTAGATCAGGTTGCTCAGAGCTCTCTCCAACCTGACCTGGGATGTTTCCAGCCATGGGGCATCCACCACCTCTCTGGGCAACCTGGACCAGGGTTTCACCACCCTTCTTTTGATTTTCCCAAATGGCCACGGAGCTTAATTCAGTGTGTGGTGGAGGTTGGGGACGTGGTTAAGGTTTGGATGCAGAAGAGGGGTTAAATAAGTGTTTTAATCTGGAGTTATTGCTGGCTCTTCTGTTGGCGTGGTGTAGGTGTGAGAGGTGCTTCTGGGATGGCATTTCAGCTTCTGCTTTGCTTTTCTTGGTTGCTGCCAGAAGGAGGTTCCTCCTGAAAGGGAGTAGGAGCCCTGGGCACTTGCATCATGTCAAATGAACACTTGAAGCCTGGTTGAAAGGGAGAAAAACCTCATCTGTGCAAAGGAACAGGAGGGCACGAGAGAGATGCTCCTGAGCACTCTGACGTATGCTTTGAGGGAAGTCTTAAATACCCTTAATTAAAGAGAAAAAAAAGTCAAATTTAACAGTATTGGCTCTAAGAACCAGTCAGTTTTTTCCTGGCTGCTTAATCACCGCTTGCGCGTTGTCATCCCGGGAGAGCCACGCTTTCCCCTTAGCAATTAGCACTGAAGCAGTCCCAGCTAGTTTCCATTTGTTAAACAATTAACGAGCCCGTCATCTCCTTGAAGTATCGCTGTGCTCATTTAGAGCCAGGGGATTATTTTCCATAAATCCTGCAGTCGGAGCCGCTATTTCTTGGGACTTTTTTATTTTTGGTACTTCAGCTGTGGCAATGTGGAGCCAGGGAGGGGAGGTGGCTCTCCAGCAGCTTTGTGCTGGGACATGTGGGCTGGCTCCAGCATCTTGTGTGTGGAGATATAAAATCCAGGGTGTTTTGGCTCTTATTTTCCAATCCTGACATTCCTGTTACATGGTAAGGGACCCCCTTCTTCCCCCTCCCTCCCGTTTCTTGGGACTTTTTTTATTTTTGGTGCTTCAGCTGTGGCTGAATGTGGAGCCTGGGAGGGGAGGTGGCTCTCCAGCAGCTTTGTGCTGGGACGTGTGGGCTGGCTCCAGCATCTTGTGTGTGGAGATATAAAATCCAGGGTGTTTTGGCTCTTATTTTCCAATCCTGACATTCCTGTTACATGGTGAGGGACCCCCTTCTTCCCCCTCCCTCCCCCAAACAAGCTAAAAGGGTGCTGGGTGCAGAGAAGGGGAAGTAATAGAAAAAAATCCACCGAGTTTTTTCCTCTTCTTTATTTTGCGTTTGCTTTTTCCAGTAGCAAACCTTGGGCTCTGTCCTCCTGGGTCCTGGTGAGTGCTGTCCTAGAGCCTTGGATCTTCCCGGCAGGGTTGGACCTCACAGTGCCCCGGGGGGGCAAGGAGAGGTTTTACAGACCCATCCCTTCCCTGATGCACCTCTTAGAAAGCCAAAAACCACACCGTAGTTCCCTGCATGAAGGAGAAAAACCTGGGATTCCTAACCCAGCTTAGGCAATCAGCCCATGGGGGGTTTGCATGGAGGCATCTCTGTTGCTCAGAATGGAGGTTCAAGGAGATGATGATCTCCTTGAAGGTAGGTGGGAGGCACTGCTGGTGGTGCTTTCCATCCTTAACCTTCTCCTGTGACCCTGGGATTTGAGGAGTATGTTTCTAATGCATTTATTTTACATTTTTGCACGGCAGGGGACAGCCACTGTCCCCAGATCAGAGCTGGGGAAGCTTGTTGGAAGCATTGCTGGCGGTGCTTTCCATCCTTAACCTGCTCCTGCAACCCTGGGATTTGAGGAGTGTTTCTAATGCATTTATTTTACAATCTTGCACAGCAGGGGACAACCACTGTCCCCAGATCAGAGCTGGGGAAGCTGACACCCTGGATCTAGTTGAAGATGTTCCTGCTCATTGCAAGGGGGTGGGACTGTAGAAGACCATTAAAGGTCCCTTCCCACCCAAACCATTATATGATTTGGTGGAGAAGGGATTGGACGTGGGCATCCCTTGACCAAAGCTGGTTTCCAGACTGTAGGAGATACTGACATCTTCAAAGGTATCAACAACCCGGTGGTGCCAACGTGTGTCATGTAGAGCTGGAATTGCCTCTTCTGAAGGCTGTGTGGTTAATGGAAGCTGTTTGTCCTACCCAGCAAGCAATCCCAAGTAAGGGATGATTGTTTTTTTTTCTCCCCCTCCAGACATGCCGTCTGTATATTCTACCTGGTTCTTCGTGCCCTGGACACTATAGAGGATGACATGTCCATCAGCTTGGACGTGAAGGTCCCGATGCTGCACGAGTTTCACTCCTATCTCTACCAACCCGAGTGGAAATACATGGAGAGCAAGGAGAAGGACCGGCAGGTGCTGGAAGACTTCCCAACGGTAAGGCATCCACCTCCTTGCTTCTGCTGCCTTGTGTCACCTCTGTGTGGATGGTTGTCTCTCCACCTTACGCCTGTCTGTGCTCGTTGGGTCCCTGGAGAGCACATGGCTCTTCCCAAGAGCTACATCACCTGCACGTGGGGCTGGCGTGAGAAACCCAAACATTGTGCAACTCCTCACATGAGCCAGACATAACCCCTGCCAGCTCTAAAAAATGGCTTTTTGCCTCCTCTGTTGGAAGAGAAACTGTTCCCTTGCGGAGAGGGATTTGGATTTGTTGCCCAACGCTGCATTGCCTGGGTTGGGTGTCCTGTGACCCCTAACAGATAGGGAGAAGAAGGAAGCTTTGGCTGGCATCTGGCTTATGGATGGCCCAGCATTTGCCCCAGTCCTGCAGGATCTGCTCTGGAGCTACAGGAGACTGTTTGCAGATATTTGACATGCACGTTAGATAAAAAGCACCCTCACTGTTAGTAACAATTTTATCCAAAGTCTTATTGCTCCAAGGATCCTTCTAAAAGCAAGCCACAGGGGATCTGCATCTCCACTTGCAAGCTAAGGCAGTATTGGAACCTGTTCTCTGGTCTGGAGGCCAATTGAGAGAGTCTGACCACATCCAAGCCATTAAACTTTCTCAGCATCCAAAACAGCGTGGTTGCATCCCAGACTGTCCCTAAGAGAAGTGGTTTCTGGTCTGTGCTTCCTACCAGGCTCTGCATGAGGGTTCCTTGGGGTCACAAGCTCGTCAGGGCCACGCTAATTGGGCATTGTGCAGGGGATTGAGTCCCTGCTCGATATCAGAGAATCACAGAATGGTTTGGGTTGGAAGGGACCTTAAAGATCACCCAGTCCCACCCCCTGACCTGGGCAGGGACACCTCCCACCAGACCAGGTTGCTCCAAGCGCCGTCCAACCTGATCTTGAGCACCTCCAGGGATGGGGCAGCCACAGCTTCTCTGGGCAACCTGGGACAGGGTCTCACCACCCTCACAGCAAAGAAGTTCTTCCTAACATCGAGTATAAATCTCCCCTCTTTCAGTTTAAGATCATCCCCCATCATCCTATGGCTCCCCTCCCTGATCCAGAGTCCCTCCCCATCTCTCCTGGACCCCCTTGAGGGACTGGCAGGGGCTCCAAGGTGTCCCCGGACACTTCTCGACTCCAGGCTGACACCCCCCAAATCTCTCAGCTCCCCCTCCCAGCAGAGGGGCTCCAGCCCTCCCAGCATCTCCGGGGCCTCCTCTGGCCCCGCTCCAACAGCTCCATGTCCTTCTGCTGTTGGTGGCCCCAGAGCTGGAGGCAGCCCTGGGGGGAGTCTCCCCAGAGCGGAGCAGAGGGGCAGAATCCCCCCCTGGCCCTGCTGCCCACGCTGCTGGGGATGCAGCCCAGGGGACGGGGGGCTTGCTGGGCTGCCAGCACACATTTCCATCTTGTGTTGAGCTTCTCACCCACCAACACCCCTCTTGTGTTGAGGTTCTCACCCACCAACACCCCCAAGTCCTTCTCCTCAGGGCTGCTCTCAATAATTTAAATCACTGGGGCAGATGTGGCTGTAGGGCTGTGCTGTAGACACTCGGGATGGAAAACAGCAGAGATGAAGCTGCAATGCTGGTCCTGAGCTCCTGCCAGGCTTCAGCCCCAGCAGGAGCAATGGGATGGGATGATGGAGCTTTGTCATGTTGAGATGCAGCATCTCCCAGTGCCAAAGGGGAACCTGTCTGGCTGGTTGTCCTAGAGGAGATCCATCAAGCTGAGAGCAGGAGGAGATGCTGGAAGGCAAGGGCTTCTCTGTGTGGTGGAGTCCAGCCATGGAGGGAGAAGCAGCATCAACGTGCTTATTTTACAGACAGAGACATGGGGGGAGGAGGAGAGCCTGGATCTGTGGTGGTGATAAAATGTCCCCAAACCATAGTCATTCAGACTGCTCTTCTGACCAGACCCACACCTTGGGCTGGCTGTGATTACCCGCTTATGGAGAAGAGCCCTCAGCACAATAAAACGTGATGCACCCCACTTCTGGGAAGGGGGAGGATGTGCTTTTCAGTGTGAGAACGACCAAGTTCATTGAATGGTGGTACTGGAGATGCAGAAGAAACATTTTGCAGTTGCTTTGTTGCTTGATGCCTTTCCAGTTGTGCAAAAATGTGCCCTGTGGAGCCAGAGCTGGAGAAGGTTCGGGAGAACAGACCAGCCAAAACCTCCCCTGCCTTTTCTTGTGGTTGGCCTCATGGGGAGCTCTCAAAAATTACAAAAAAAAACCAAAAAACAACTCTCTCCATGAAGCGTAGCTAGTTTTGTCCTGCAGCTCCCAGATGATACCAGTCCAAGGCCACGGAGCCTTCCCAAAGATACTGCTGTGTCTGATCTCCTGCCAGAGATGGTTCCGTTTAGGCTGAGAACAGACTGAACCTGTGCTTGAAGGGCCTTGAAACAACTCTGGTGGTGGGAGTTGTCCTCGATCTCCAGCCAGGGTGGGATGGGAGCCCAGTAAACAGTCTTTCTCTCATTTCTTAATAAATGTTGAGCTCTGCTGTTTTTTTTCCTGACGCTGTCTTTTTTTTTTTTCCCCTTCGTGGTGGTTTGTGCTGCAGATCTCCATGGAGTTCAGGAACCTGTCAAAGGTCTACCAGGAGGTGATTTCAGATATTTGCCACAAGATGGGTGTCGGGATGGCGGAGTTCTTGGAGAAGAAGGTCGACTCTCAACACGAGTGGGATAAGGTAAGTCAGCCCAGACAGAGGACTGGGATGAACATGAGCAGGGTCCACCTTGTCTCTGGGGAGCGAGGAGATAGGGCATCCCTGTGGGAAGAGGGCTCAGCTGTTTGAGGGAGGCTCTGTGGCCTTGGGAAGGCTTTGAGTGACATCTGGTGCTGTGGGTGGTGGGAGGATGGCATGGAATGTTGGTCTCACCCACCAGCACATGTTTTGGGTGACCCATCACATCAGCTGTTCCCCTGTGGGCGGTTCGTTCAGCTGCTGGAGGCAGAGTGGCACCATGGTGGGACATCATGATGAGGTGTTTGTTGGGCATGGGAAAGCTGAGACATCCCAGGGAGGGTTGTGAGAACTTGCAGAAACTGTAATGTCAATTAATTCTGAGCATCAGTTTTGTAAAACTCATTGTGGCAAACAAGCAGCTCTTTCTAACTGCTCATTTTGTGGTTTTTTTGATGTCCCTTCCCCTCTTGATGCTTCACAGTATTGTCACTACGTTGCTGGGCTGGTGGGGATCGGCCTTTCCCGTCTCTTCTCTGCATCAGAGCTAGAAGATCCTATCGTCGGGCAGGACACGGAGCTGGCCAACTCCATGGGCCTCTTCCTGCAGAAAACCAACATCATCCGTGACTATCTGGAGGACCAGCTGGAGGGAAGGGAGTTCTGGCCCAAAGAGGTGAGGGAAGACATCACCTTGGGGTGAACGTTTCTGCTGTGCCTCTTTGGGAAATGCACTAAGACTGAAGGTCCTGCTGTAGCTGCTCTGATGCACTGAGTTGCATCCTCTCATTCAAAACGTTCCTGCTGGAACTTCCTTTGAAATCTCCAAAGCCAGGGTTTTCCCCGCCATTTGTTGGTGTCCCTTGACAGTCTTCCATACTTCTGTCCAAGACCTGTAATGGATGGAGCCAACTGTCCGTGCCTTCCCAGGTCACCTGTCTTGGGAATGCATGACAGGGCACGTGGCAGAAGGTGCACAGCTAAAATTGTAGCATCTCTCATGTCCCTTTAAATCAAAATTAACAGGTGAGACTTGATGGTCTGCTTCAGTTTTGTTGAGACCCTGCAGTAAAGCTGTGCTGCATCAGATCATTACTGTTGGTTGTCCATCTTCTTGATAATAACAGATTTCTTCTAAGGACAGCTGGGTGACAAGTTCCACTTCTCTGGAGGGGTTCAAGGCCAGGTTGGATGGGGCTTTGAGTGACTGGTCTGGTGGGAGGTGTCCCTGCCCACGGCAGAGGGATTGGAACTGGATGATCTTTAAGGTCCCTTCCAACCCAAACCATTCTATGATTCTGTATCTATGTACAGATGTGGGATGAGGTGATGTCTCCCACACTGCCAAGAACTTGTTGGGCAGCTTTTTCCCCCCTCTCTGTTATGTTGGAATGAGGGAGGGTAAGACTGGGTGACATCTCAAGAGGGTTCCTAGTCTGTTCCTACAGGCAGGATCAGCCCTACCTCTGCCTGACAGGTGCTTGTCTGCTCTTCTTCAGGCCCTCCAAGAATTTTTCTCTTCCTTTTCCATGTGACTTGCCTGTCTCGGAGCATTTCTTGATGTCATGATGTGTGAGGCATCTTTTCCTTGCCCTGCCTAGAGAAGATGTGGAGATGACTTGCATCCTTCTTCTTTGCAATCCCTTTGTATATGCAAAGGCCACTGTCATGTCTCTACAGCTTGCCCACCCTTCTTTTCTTTAGCCCCAATCCTTCAAGGCTTTCTTGGGTCCTTGGTGGTTCTTTTTGTTCTCCCAGACCCGGACCATCACTGATATTTCTCTTATGGCCTGAATATACCCTACAACTTGTGAATCCTTATCTCGGTGTTTAGGTTTGGAGCAGATACGCAAAGAAGCTCTCGGATCTTGCCAAACCAGAGAACATCGATATGGCTGTCCAGTGTCTCAACGAGCTCATCACCAACGCCCTCCACCACGTCCCTGATGTCCTCACATACTTATCCCGCCTGAAAAACCAAAGCGTCTTCAACTTCTGTGCTATCCCCCAGGTAAGTTATGCTTTCAGGTGGTTCTTCATCCTCTGCAGCCCAGCTGATGGGGAGCTGGAGATGTTCTATATCACGTCAATATTAGGCAGTTTTATTCTCAGATTCTTTCTTCTTTCCCAGTACCTGCAGTTTCTGCTCTCAGTGAGATGGTGGCTCCAATCCTGAGTGTTTTGCGATGGATTTTGCTTGGGCTTGGGACTGCTCCCTTGGTAAGGTCCTTGCAATGCGCTAAGGCCTCTTGGTGTTTCTCCCTTAGGTGATGGCTATTGCCACCTTGGCTGCCTGCTATAACAACAAGCAGGTCTTCAGGGGTGTCGTGAAGATCCGGAAGGGACAAGCCGTCACGCTGATGATGGATGCCACCAACATACAAGCTGTCAAAGCCATCATGTACCAGTATGTGGAAGAGGTAGGTTGAGCAGCTTGCTCCAAGTAATTTCTGGCTGTTCCTGTCCTCATTCCTGGTGTGGAATTAGAAGACCCATGAATCTCTTAATCCGTTCCTTGAGTCTCTTAGTTCAGTGGTGGCATGGTGACCCTGATAGAGACCAAACTGGGTGCTTGGTCTTGAACATAACCTTGGTCCGTGCCTGTGTTGAAAGGCAGAGATCGAGGTCCTGCCATCCTTCTGGTGGAGAACCAGAGGAGCCAGTGTAGGACTTCCCTCAGGCTGAGCACGCCCAGAGGACCTTCCCACAACACACTTCTGAACAGGTTGCATCATCTCACCGCAGGCTGCTCCACAGCACAGAGTCTTGGTTTCTCTGCGTCCAAGGTTGCAGCTGGCAGCGTGGTGTAGTGACTCATTCTTTGTGCCCCATGGCCAACAGCAGATGAGGGTAGCTCTTTGCAGGTGGTTAATGTGGTGGGACTCCCAACTTTAGAGTACTGTGGAGGTTAAAAGTTCACGTGGAGGAACATCTGGTGGATAGATTGATGAGAAACCAACACTCTAGTCCCCAAAACCAAATCCAGTGAGGGCTGTTAAATGAAAAGACATTACTTCTGCACCCCAAACCATGGGTTTGAGCTGCCTTTGTGGGATGGGCAGCCCCATGTCAAGGGACAGTGACATCCTAGCCCAGAGGAGGGTTCCCTTCCTAGGACTCATGTAGACAAGTATCTCAAAGACCATTGGGTTTGCAGACCATGAAGAAAAAACTCTCTGCTTGTACATGCCTCCCTAGGACTCATGCAGACAAGTATCTCAAAGACCATTGGGTTTGCAGACCAAAGACCATGGGTTTGTCTGATGAAGGTGGCCATTTCCTGACAGTCCCACCAGCTGCTGGTCACACTGGGGGTCTCTTCACTGGTTTGGGGTGGGCTGCAGCACACCAGCAGCGAGCGAGGATTGCTGGGTGAGAAACGTTGGTCCCAGCAACACCACTTGGGGTTGAGGGATTGCGTCTGGGGCCGTGTGGTCCATCTCCCGTCATGGGGTGCCCTCCAGAGGCTGCTTGGCTTAATGCACCTCTCAAGGGAAATGGGCCCTGGCCCCATCGTGGCGTCCCTTGCTTCATGGCAGGCCACCACGAAGGTTGCTCTTGAGGGTTGAGTGGTCCCGCCGGCAGTGTGCCCAGGTGGCCAAGAAAGCTGTCCTTTGCTTCATGGCAGGCCACCACGCAGGTTGCTCTTGAGGGTTGAGTGGTCCCACCGGCTGTGTGCCCAGGTGGCCAAGAAAGCCAATGGCATTCTGGCTTGTATCAAAAATAGTGTGACCAGCAGAAGTAGGGAGGTGTTTGTGCCCCTGTACTCGGCACTGGTGAGGCCACACCTCGAGTGTTGTGTCCAGTTTTGGGCACCTCAATATAAGAGAGATCTGGAGGTGCTGGAGCGAGTGCAGAGGAGGGCAACGAAGCTGGTGAAGGGCCTAGAAGACAAATCATATGAAGAGCGGCTGAAGGAGCTGGGGCTGTTTAGTATGAGGAAGAGGAGGCTGAGGGGAGACCTCATCACTTTCTACAACTTCGTGAAAGGACACTGTAGAGAGGTTGGTGCTGGTCTCTTCTCACAGGTAATTAGTGACAGAATGAGAGGGAACGGCTTCAAGCTCCAACAGGGGAGGTTTAGACTGAACATTAGGAAGGAATTTTTCACAGAAAGAGTGGTCGGGCATTGGAACAGGCTGCCCAGGGAGGTGGTGGAGTCACCATCCCTGGCTGTGTTTAAGGGCCGTTTAGATGCAGTGCTGAGGGACATGGTGTAGGGGAGGACTTTGTAGAGTAGGGGA